TTTTTTTTGTTTTTGTTTTTGTTTTGAACAAGCACAAAGACCTTATCTTATTTTCTTTGATTTATAGTATATGGTAAATACAATTCTATGCCCCTAACTTTTAGGGATTTCCTAAAAAATGTTCTCAATGTTTTTTTCCAACCAATTTCGCCCGAAAGGCCCAAAACCAATTGCCACAGCTTACAACCCCGTAATTACGAGATAATATATTGCCAAAATTTTAAATTAAGGGAATTGCTTGGAACAATTAAAAGAAGTTGTAACCATGGTGATTTTTGTCAATTATGACATGACCAAGTGAGGTGTTAATATTAATACAATAATTTTTATAAAATTTGGATGTTTGGGATACAATTGAAATGAAATAAATGTTTGAGACATTTCCAAGAGTGACGCATTGTTTGAAACATAAGCAACTTTAATTTTTTGATAATGGGTAAGGAAAATAAAATCAAGAGCTTTTAAATCTTAATCGAGTAAATATTAAACAATATAATTGCCACACACTTCATAGTTTAGTCCAACAAATCTAAACCCTTTTGTAACCTTTTATTAATCTTAAATTTTTGTACTCTTTATAATCACTCACAATCTATGTATTAGCAAGGAAATGAAATTTGAAGGTATTAACTTTAAATTTTAAATTCGGATTTTAGAAGATATATAGAAAGAAGTTGATATCTCACATCACACATAACAATATGGACATGGTACTCCTCCCATAGGGATATATGTATGATATTTATTGTATGGAAAAATACAAACTGGATCAAATGTCAACATTAAATGTACATATATTTACTAAATTAAAATTAATAATCATCATCCTTATTCCTATGATTAACGAAGGTCTGATCCGATCCCTGATCTAAGAAGACCCTGTTTTTCTTAGACCCATTATTAGTTCGGACAGGAGGAGACTGTTGCACCACCAGCACCGACGCTTGTGATACAAATTCAGATGAAATTAATGCTTCCCCTATCACTCCTAACTCTGGATACTCGCTCCAATCTGATAGTCCTGCTGTCAATGGGGATGCAAATCCTTCCCCTCTCCCCACCACGTACAAGTCAAAGTCATTGTGATCATTTACTACAGCCGACACGGTTTGCTCTGCAGAATTCACCTACGTACAGTATATACATTTAATTGTTAAGGATTTAACCATATGCTAATTTACAGCTACATATTGCAGAGTGATCAGATCATCTTCAATTAATTATTGAGTTGAGTTCCGTGTGAGTTGTAAGGTATATATGGGTTTCAGACAATTTCAAACTGACCAATTTTAAAATTATACTGTGTTTCGTAACTATAGCCATATAAGTATTTCCAAAAAAAAAATTATTGAGTTGAGTTTAGTTGGGTTCACCTGTTTCTCGATGAAGGTTATGGACTTATCGTACATTGTTCTAAACCTGAACTCGTTGATGTAATCTGCGTCCAGTTGTTGCTCCCTTTCACTCTCCATCATTGCTGTGAAAATCCCTGATGGATGATCTCTTCCATTGGAGAAGCTTTCTGTAGGCATCAATTCTGCCATATCTTCTCCTTGTAAAAATCTCACAACCGTTAGAGTTACATGATCTTGATGGCACCCCGCCATCCTCCATGCATAGGCTAATGCTTCCCGATCGTCTGGTCCTCCGATAAACAGCATGCCAATGCGGCAAACGTTGTTGTTCATAATAAGACCATGATGGTGGTGGGACGACGATACCGACTCTTCTTGTGGGGCAAAGTTCAAATTCAGGCCACGGTCCACAAATATGCCAACAGAGCAAGGCGCAGAGGACAAAAGATTCTGGTTAACTTGTCTGTGTTGAAGGTTGTCGTCCTTCCATCCACCGTCCGCTGTGGGTTCCTTGTGGAACGGAAGGAGAATGAGCGTGACGCCCTTGTCCAAGGCAAAGTTGCTCATGTCCTCGTGCATGGAAGCATAAGAGGACACGGCTGTAAGGGGCTGAATAGACACGGCCAGGTTATCTCTCTCGAAAGATTCAAAGGCACTGATGATTTCCTCAGCTTCGGCTTTTTCTCGTGTCATGCCGGTGTTGTTGCCCTCTAGGGTGGTCTTCGGTGCCCTACAGTCGTGGAAAATGAGCATGGCGGAAGCCCGTCCGGTAAGCTCGACAAGATGGACGGCAAACACCGTGACTGGAGATTTTCTTTGAGCGTTTGAAATTTGCAAGATGTTGAGTAGGCTGGAAACGTTTGTGGAAGAGTGAACACCAAGAAGAAGCCGAAGCTCCGAGTCTTGCCTACTTTTCTCTAGGCTTCTAACTAACATGCGCTTGGCGTTTCTGGTTGATTTGTAAGTTAGACTGACAATCGGACCAACCATCCCCGTCATTAGGAAAATAGACACAACCATTGCGGCAAAAGTTTGTTGATCAAAACCCTGCACATAGTTATAATAATAATTATTTTTTTTTTTTTGTAAAATAAAAAATGACAGTAGAAATTAAAAAGAAATTAAAAAATATGGATATCCGTTAAAATTCATGAGTGAGAGTTTTGTCATCAGTTGAATCTTGTTGACTCAAATCTGACTTAATTAATGACACGGTAGGCTTCCAGATATCGAGTGATTCATACAAAAAAAAAAAAAAAATCGATACGGTAATAGTAATTGATTATTAACCTTCAAATTTCGACCTTCGTTGAGAATAATAATGGAGAGAACACCTTTGGTGTTCATAAGCACTGCAAGAGCTAAGCTGTCCCGAATGCTGCTTCCTAAGAATGTAGAAACGAGGAGAGTAGAAAGAGGTTTGATAAAAATATTAAAGATTATAGCCAGGCACATCAGACCGGGATTATATCCTGTTAACATAGATCCCATATTTGTTCTAAACCCGGTGGTCAAGAAGACTGGGGGTAGCATAATCCCTACCACGTACTCCTCAATCTTGTCCATTACCTTGGTACCTAGCTCGCCGGGAGGAATGATGAGTCCAAACAAAAATGCTCCGATCATGGAATGCGACCCACATAAGTCAGTGAGGCATCCGAATAAGGGTACTGCAGCAAGGATGAAGATTACATGCGTGTCGCTATACCTTCCTTCAACGAATGTTGCTTCTTTTGTCTTTGATGTTGTTAAACGAAATACCAAGCTGAGAAACGGACGTAGGACTACCCAGAAGACAAATATGAACGCTAAAGTTGGTAAAATCATGAATATTTTTTTCTGTCCATTGATGGAAGAAACGGCGATTACAAGAAGAGCCCAAGAAGTAATATCGGTCATGACGGCAGCAGTTAATGCCATCTTTCCAAGATCGGTGTGGAGAAGTTTGAGGTCTGAAAGGATTCGAGCAAGATCGGGGAAGCTTGTAACGGTGAGTGCAATGGACCAGAACAAGGAAGCTTCAGCAGGCACTTCTTGCTCCCCTTTGAAACTCCCCCTTAGCAAAGAAACCATGAACGGGCCTAGAAGCAACGGAGCAACAACACCAGAAAGCGCCACATAGAAAGCCACCTTTCCGCTGTTCCATACAGGGGTCAAGTCCATTTCCAGACCAACCACAAACATGTAGTAAGTGAGTCCTAAATTCGCCACCACCTCCACCAACGCTGCTCCTTCAAAAGGGTTAAGTGCGTCGCTCGCTTCTGACCAAAGTCCAAGTACCGAACGACCAATCAGAATCGAAGTCTACGGTACATATGTATGTCCAATTAGATTATATATTGATAAAAAAAACAATTTAAATTAATTAATTTTTTTTGAAAAAAGGGACTACATATACATATGTAACGTGTTTACATATATAATTATACATACATATATATATATATACACATACGTACCAGGAGCTCAGCCATGAATCGAGGTTGACGAGCAGGTTTGAGGAGGAGCATGAAGAGGCGAATGAGGAAAATGACAGGGCAAATTTGGGTGAAAAAGATAGGCAGGGATTTCACCAAGGGATTCACAATTTGCCAGGTATTGTTTGAAATTGTTATGTTGTCAAGATAACATATCAAGAGTTCATTTGCATAGGGGTGCACGACGTTGTATTTCCCCTGGCTCGAGGTATTCGGAGGCGTTTTTGCGCCCAGCTGAATCATTTTCTCTTCCTCCGACCACCCACAAACAGATCTGGTCGCCGGCGAAAGAGAAGAGCTAGGATATATATATGGTGGTGATGAAAAATAGGCGCCGGTCAATTTATTAATTACAAGAACACGATATTGTTATAACTGACATTACAAGACAGACAAAAAATGTATGGCTGTTGCTCACTACAACAAATATTTAGTTATTCTGTTCAAATCTCAAAAAAGTAAAAACAAATTCATATTTTGACAAAAAGAGCATGATATTAACGTTGGTTTAATTAAACAATATTTCTTCTTCTTTTTCTTCTTGTCCTTTTT